AGCGGATCTTACGAGAGACCCTGCTGCTTTTCTTCGCCTTTGGCCAGTAGCACGTTGACCAAGCTGTGTTGGCCAAAGCCAGGCCTGTCTCGTTTTTCCTGGTTATCCTCCAAAAGGCAAATGAAATCGCAAATTCTTTAATTTCTGGTAAACGCCTGCCATGCTGTACCGTAAAATGATACATTGTAAGTCCATGCGAGTGCCTCCCAACGGGCCGCGACTCGGCCCTCGCACTACCGCATGCTAACCGTGAAAACAAAATGTGTTGATAATGGTCCTGACCAGAGTCACGTACGGTAAGCTCCGGTCATGACTTCTGGTTGGATCCAGGAGCGATGCCACCCGTAGAAGTCGCAGGTGGCGGTGGCGCCGGCGGAGGCGTAGCGGGTCCGGCAGGAGGAGGGAACGGCGGGGGAATCGTCTGACCGATATCAACGCCCGAGCTTGCAGGCACCTTCATAGGGCCTTGAGGCATGGGCGTGCGGTCAAGAAGCTTCTCGCCGCGAATGACCTTCTCTACCTCGTTCTTGTCCAGCGTCTCGTACTCGACGAGGGCCTTGGCCAGGAGATCGAGCTCCTTGCGCCTTGATGTGAGCAACTCGCGCACCTTTTCGTATGACTCCGTCAAGGTACGCTGCACTTCGGACTCGATGAGAGCCTTGGTCTCTGAGCTGAGCTGGTTGTAGCGCTCGCCGTACTCCACGGGGCCGAGCTTGGCAGACATGCCGTACAGAGCGACCATCTGGAAAGCCAGGTTTGTGGCATTCTTGAGATCCTGCTTACTGTTAGTGCCAATCCCACAAGTCAATGTCGAGGTTAACTTACGCTTGAGACACCGGTGGTCACCTTATCGGTGCCATAGACCAGCTCTTCGGCGAGCTTTCCGCCCAGAGAGGTCTCAATCAGACTCTTGAGGTCCCTCGTCGTGTACGAATACTTGTCCATCTCAGGAAGGTGTGCAGTGTGTCCGAGACTCTGGCCGCGAGGCAAAATGGTAACCTTGTAAAGCTTGTTGGGACCGCTCTCATGGTAGAAAGACACCAAGGCGTGACCGGCCTCGTGATAGGCAGTCATCTCCTTCTCCTTCTGACTGATGACCATGCTCTTCTTCTCCGCACCCATGATGACCTTGTCCTTGGCCCACTCGAAATCCGTCATGGAGACGGCAGCATTCTTGAGCCTGCTGGCGCGGACGGCGGCCTGGTTGACAATGTTCTCGAGCTCGGCACCAGAGAGGCCGCCAGTGCTGGAAGCAATGGCCTCAAAGTTGATCTCGGGGGCGGCCTTGATCTTCTTGGCATGGTACTTGAGGATCTCAATACGGCCGCGTACATCAGGCAGGGGAACGGTAACGTGGCGGTCAAAACGTCCAGGTCGGGTAAGAGCCTTGTCGAGAAGTTCCGGGAAATTAGTGGCAGCGATGATGACAACACCGCTGTTCTGCTCGAAACCGTCCAGTTCCGTCAAGAGCTGGTTGAGCGTCTGCTTGTGGTAGGCGGCATCCCTAGTATTGCGGCGTCCACCAATGGCGTCAAGCTCGTCGATGAAGATGATGGCGGGAGACTTGGACTTGGCGGAAGCGAAGAGATCGCGGACGCGCTTGGCACCGACACCGACGTAGACCTCGTCGAATTCACTGCCAGACATGTAGAAGAAAGGGACGCCAGCTTCACCGGCAACGGCGCGGGCCAAGAGAGTTTTACCAGTACCGGGGGGTCCAACCATCAGGATACCCTTGGGAAGCTTGCCGCCGAGGGTGGAGAACTTGTCGGGGTTGCGGAGGAAGTCGACCAGCTCCTGGAGCTCATCCTTGGCCTCATCGGCGCCGTGCACGTCTGCGAAACGGGTAGTCTGGTTCTCGGCCTTGGCCTCGCTGTCCACTTTGCCACCGGGTCGCTTGAAGAGGTTGAGACCCTCGACCAGCATCGTGACGACGACCAAGCTGAGATACGTGAAGAGACAGAACCACAAGACGAACTTGACCCAGCGGAAGATGACGCCACCGAATGACTCGTCTACAACAACGTGCAGCGGGCTGGTCGGGAGGCCATTGCCCTGGACCTTTGCGGTAGCCATGTTCGAGTCGCGCGACCTCGCAGCCAGAGCCTGGCCAACAGCTTGCAGCTGCGCCTGGCTCAGGTTCCCGGGGGACTGCTGGTTCAACTCCTGGCCGCCGAGCGTGCCGACATTGCCAAAGGCGGAGGGCAGGTGGTCGTGACCACCCATCCCGCCGACGGCGCCGGTGCTCTGCATGCCAATCGCCTGCGCATATGCCTGATCCACCGCATCGTTTCTCGCGAACCGGCCAGAGTTGTAGCGCTCGATGACGATGGCGGGCATGTTGGCCTTGAGGAGGAGCTGGTAGAATGCGTTCTGCGCGGTCGCGCTGCCGGGGTTCCTGTTCGCTGCCGACTCTCTCGTGGCGAGAAGGTTGCGCGAGATGGCATTGTTGGTTCCAAAGAATCTGTACTGATGTTGCTGTTGCCGGAGCTGGAGGGCGAGGCCCAGGCCGGGGGTCCGAGTGAAGGCGGTGGCGGTCGGGCGAGCGGAGGAGGTCGCGAGCCGGAGGACGGATTGCATCGTCGCGGGCTGCATCGTTGCCCGTCGGAGCAGTGGGCTGGTCGCGCTTAGCGCCAGCGCTGCTGGGCGTAAGGCCATGATGCCTTTGGGGTAGCCGGGAAGGCGCGGTGTAGGCTGGAGCGCGTATTCGTCAGAGCAGATGGTTTTGCTTGATGCCGAGTTGGTGATGGTAACAAAGGGTTCTGCAGAGGGGCACTCCCCTTACGAGACCGAAAAGGGGAAAAGGAAAAGAAAAGAAAAGGCTTCTTCAATTACTATCGACGTCGTATGTGCAGGTGTGATGAAGATGACATGGTTCGCGCCGAGGGTTGACTCGTCGTCTTGTTGAGAGCGGCGACGGGGCGGCGGGATATGGATACGTTGAGGCGAAATGCGCTACGGATACCTTAGCTGACGTTATTCATTGACCACGACATTGCGGTGCTGCCTTCCGAGTTTTTCCCTGCCGAAGCGCCGCGACCGGGGAAAGCAGCAAGGCCCAGGTTCATACCCACGTGACGTCGATGAGATTCTAGAATGTCGCGACTTGTCGGTGCCAGGGAAAGACCGATCCGGCGAATGATGACAAAGCCTTTGGGGTCCATTGGAGACGAGCAGGGGCATAATTCAACCTCATGTCATTGGTTAATAATCAGAAATTCAACTACATCAGTTTCTCTCTCTCAGCATTGAAGGTGATCGTAGTTTGACCTCGAGTTGACCAAAGTCCCAGTATCAATGTTTCATTATTTCTGGATTTAGTATCTGATTCAATCTGGGAAAGACTCTCCGTCTCTCGCGAAGTTCCGGTGCGAAGTCACCTCTGTCAGTACATGCTCTCCCAAGATGTCGGAAAAAAGCAACATGATTGGCCAGTAAGGTTCTAGCCAATCATAAAATTCCCTCTGTCTCCCCATTCAGACCCCCAGAAACACATCGCCAGAAGCAGCTGGCTGAGGAATGGAAATGGATGCATTCTTCCGCATGCAGAGCAAACAACTGCAGATCAATTTTTTTGAATTAAGCGCCCTGTGCCCCATGAGTTGGTAACTGTAAACGCCCTCCTTCTTCGCCCATTTCCCTCATTCCCATCATCCATTAGCAAACCTCCCTCTCTTCCTCCGTTCTTCTTCTTCCCTTCTCAACGAAGCCGGGTCTTGAAATCTCCGTCAGCACCGTCCACCGATTTCTCACATCAGCAGCACCGGGCGAAGAAGAAACTCACGAGGCTGCGACGGTCTCTCATATTTTCACACCTGATATGAGCATCACTGGGTAGCGCGGATATCCCGGAGATCAGCGCATCTCACAAGCGGATCATCCGGGCTCAAACTTTCTATAGAATCCCCCAGTTATACCTTTACAAACCTCCAGCTCTTCGTCTCTCAAGCATCCAACACTTCGTCGCCAGTCACACGGGACGATAACTCAATCCTCCTCTTTACAGACTCAAAAGACCTCCATGGCCGAAGAAGAAAAACAGCCATGAAATGCCAAGACCATCAATACATCTATTCAGCTCAACTCAGGTCAACTCTCATCTCCATTCACCATCTCAGACGATCTGCATCCCCAGCTACCAGAATAGCCCGTCCTGTCCTCCCAAGCGCACGACTTACAACGCCGTCTCTTGTCACCACCCTCACGCATCTCATCTCACCTTACCCGACCGAATCTCCCAATTCAGGCTGCAAACAATTTACCCATCGGAACCAAAGAATCTCAACACCACTACCACCGACACCAACACCAACAAATACGAACAATCATGCAGACACCCCTTGAACTAAAGCAGACGCTTCTGCAAGGCAACGTGTCACCGGTTCAACAGCTAAACAACTCTCAAAGTTTTGACTTACACAGGCTAAGAGCTAAGAGCCCATCAGCTCGTCTTCTGGTCATGCGTCCCCCTTCTTAGCCTCGGCCAATTCTTTTCGCCATTCTTCTCCTCATCCCACTCATCCACTCATGATCATATAAAGAGACGACTTGGACCGCAAGATTTTGATTAACAAAGTCTTTTATTTCTTTCCGTTCTGACTGACCAGGTATCAATTCCCAAAACTATCCCAATTGTTTCTCATTTCCCCTTTGAATCCAGCACACAATACACAAGGGGAGGAACACATAAAATTACATATGCACAACGACTCGTCGTCCCCTATTCCTCCTCATGGCCCCCCATTTCCTCCTTTTCCCGGTTGTTCCCTCTTCGTCAACCCTTCCCCTGAGGAATCTGTTCTAGGGAATGCGCCGCCCACCACCAGACAGGAGAATTCGTTGACTTCGTGCTGTTGTTGTTACAGGGAATGTTTTTGTTTTCCGGGTCGCACCGAGGCCTTGAGAAAAAGCAACGGAGAAATTCCAAAGCTGCCAAACCCGACCGAGCCTTTCGTATATCAGGCATCGAATGACGGTCCCCTTTCTTTCCCTTTTCCCTTTTACCCTGAACCTCCTTCCATCCTCATTATTGTCCTGCTCCTCCCATCCCCATGCGATTTCACCCTCTCCACCAAGGTCGTAAAAGGGCCGTCAAGATTCGGATATCGTCCAATGATTCCCAACATGCCAGTGGCTTTCCCCCATCCGCCCGACCGGCTCCGGCTGTTATGCTTTCGTTGTATCATATCATCGGGAACATGTTCAGTCGACATGGTCGATGAACGCCCCGATGAGAAAGGAGTGAAAGAACTGTAAAAGAAAATATTAAATAAGACAGCACAAACCGCCGTACCAAGCTCCAAAAACCCCACGAGTACCCGACCGACTAAAGACGAAATTATAAACTCGAAGCGACAGAAAGACCACCAATGATATATCCCGGATGAAAACAGATGCAAATATTCCAAGTCGACGGGGTAATAGTATGTGCTTGACAAAGAAAATGGTGCCCGAAGGCGAAGAGCCACGGAGTGAATCGAGGCGGGAGAAGCGACAGATCCAGCGATCGTCCCTTTTCGACAAATTTGACGATTACAAACGGCATTGCGAAGTATGCCAGCAGTGGGTTGTGTGTGAGTGTTGAAACCCAGAAAACAGAGTACCAACTTGATGTATGCTTTTGGGGGATTGATTTGACATTTTCTGTTCCTTGTGTTTCTCTTCGTCTGGATCCCTTTTGGCCCGTTGAGACTGCCCCAAGGGAGGGATGACAGGCGTGGCGGGGCACTGGGCCTAGAGGCGTCCAAAAGGCTCATCCTCTTCTTTTCAACAATCGACAGCTCGGTTCTGTGGAGCCCGCGTGGTATCTCCTTCTTTTTCAATCAACGAGGTGGGGGAATATGTTAAAATCAAATCGACGTCAAAATTTCCGGTGGTGGTACAGCAAGCGGCGCCGAGACGAGGCACCGATGGAAATGATGATTTGGTATCGGAAGGCACAGATGCCTGGCGTGGCGGAAGCCATCGTCGGATGGTGTCTGGCGCTTACATGTTCTCGATCCGTGCGGACGGGAGCTGCATCGAGGGATCCTCGAACTCGATCTTGGGGCCGCCCCAAGGGTCGTACACGCCGGAGCCGTAGGTCGGCAGCTGGCCAATTGTTGCAACCTCGACCGGTGCCTGGTACGGAACGCCGTTCCAGTACTCTTCGGGTTGGGCCTGGGGTGCCGGTGAGGCGTACTGGCTGACTTGCTGAGGCGGAGGCTGCGGTGCCTGAGTCGGGATCGGTTGGGGGGTATGGATCTGCTGTTGCATCTGCTGGTGCGGGTACGCGACCATGCCGGCTTGCTGTTGCTCGAGGACGGGGGAGGCATGATGCAGGGCATATGTGGCTGCTTGGGTTGGCTGGTGAGTATAAAACCCTTCCTGAATGGATGGGCTCCTACCCGATGCTGCCGAGAAGCTGCTCGGGCTGCTTTGGATGGATTGGTTCATACCAGGTTGAGAGTACGGCACATCAACCTGCGGCTGTTGTTGCCGGGGCACCTGTCCGTATTGTTGGGGCATGGCCGTGTTCATGGTAGCGACACCCGGGTTGCCCTGCTCCGTCACGTAGTACGAGTGCTGGCCCATGCTGGCGGTTCGCTGCAGCATGTGTACACCAGGGTGTTGCTGGTCGTGTACCATACCGTGGACCTCGTGTGCTCCGCCGGAAGAAAGGCTGTGGCGGTGCGCGCCGTAGTGTTGCTGTTGCTGCTGCTGGGGCATAGGGTAACCGTTCATGTGCTGGCCGAAGTCGGCAAATGAGGCAGCTCGGTGCATTGCGTGACCCATACCGGGGTGGTTCATGGCCATGACGCCTTGAGGAGGCCACTGCATGCCGGCGTGCTTCGGGGTCGAAGGAGACTCGCCACTGTCGGAGTCTGATGTGCAGTCGTCCAAGAGCTCGTTGGGGTGGAGGCCGCGCTGGTGAGATCTCCTCTGGTGCTTGACCATTGTGGTCTTGCGGCAGAAGCTGTTCAGTTGATTAGTGTCAACTCCGTCAAGTGGAGGGAAAGCCTGGTGGCTAGAGATCTACCTCTTCAGGCAGCCATCGTGGGCGCACTTGTAAGGGCGTTTGCCAGTGTGAATACGGCGATGTCTGGCCAAACTCGAAGACTTCTTAGGTTAGTGCCTGTTGGAACATGTCGCTGTCAGGAGGAAATCATACATCAGAAAATCGCTTGCCGCAACCAATGTGCTGGCATTGGTGAGGCTTCTCTCCCGTGTGAGTACGGATGTGGACAGTCAGAGCACTCCGTTGAATGAAGCTCTTGCCACAGCCGGGCGTTGTGCAGGAGTAGGGACGCTCGTTGGTGTGAATGCGGTAGTGTCTCTGCAAATCGGACTTCCTGTTGAAGCTCTACAAGATGTCGAAGTTAGATCCGTCCATGTCACACCACAGCCGTAGCCGAGTGGCGGCGTGTTTCTGGACTCACCTTGTTGCACGACTGCCAGTCGCACTGGAAGGGGCGAGCGGTGGGCTCGTTCTCGACAAGCTCCATGAGTTCCATTTCTTTGGGTTTTATTTGTGTGTTTGGATGGGGATTACCAAGATGCGGACCAGTGCAGTAGCTGTACTACTTATATACTTCCGCGGCGAGGGATAAAGGTGTCTTGAATTATCGGGTGATGAAGGGACTGGGCTGATATGGTGTCCGGAGTAGAAGAAGCAAGGGTAGCGTGGGTTGATGTGTGTGATATGTTATCCTGGTTCGGAACGTTGCTTAAGCGGGATGCTCAATGCGGGTTCTGTGTATGCAGACTCCGGAATCGTCGTTCAAGGAATGATGGGTTGGGACAAGAAGGCAAGGGTGGTGAATGTGTGCCGAGAAGTAGGAGGTCGACGACTTGAGACAAGAACGGGTGCGGCGTCCAGCGCAAGGTTGCCGAAGATGAGCAGTGTTCGAAGCGTTGAAGACGACGGTGCGTTCAGGAACGTTGAACAATGGAAGAGGAGGATGGACGGACGGTGTTTAAGAGAGAAGAAGATGAGGAGGAAGAAGAAGAGGCCTGAGCTTGGTCGGGGGTGTTGGTATTAATCAGGCGTGGTGGCTGTGACGGGGAAGCTGACACTCCTCTTGAGTTGAGGGAAAGAGATGGAGATTAAGGTGTGTGAGAAGGAGAGTAAGGTAGTAAGTAGTATGAGAGAGGAAGGGGAGTGAAGCTGGTAGGAAACGATCAGCTCAAGATAACCCAAGGTACGACGAACTGATGAAGGCCAGGAGGTAGAATGAGTTCATAGCGGGTGGGAGTAGCCTTCTTTAAGACAGCCACAAGTGTGGACGTACCAGAAGGTGGGAGGGTCCTGGTGCACAGGCACTAAAATTCTCCGTCTTCGATGAAAATTAGCCACCTGACTGGAGGATCTGTTGCGAGTGGTCGAGCGCAAACTGGTGGGAAGTGCTGATGTTGCTTGCAGGACAATCCCTTCTTCGGGCGGCGGATGAGATAAGAAGGGTGAACCAAGTTCGGGCTGGCTTGCCGTGTATTTTGTTTCGAAGTCCAAGTGTCGAGGGCCGGCGTGTGTTAAGTTTCCGAGACTAGAAGCATAATGGTGACCACCAGGAACAATGCGATCGTCGAACCTCTGAGCGCTCAGGTACGGGAGACCAAGCGGATCTTGGACGACTGGCGTCGTTTTCTTGCTTGAGGGGTGTCTGGATGACAAGAAACAGACTCGAGTCTTCTACCGGCAGCTTCCTTGCTTCTATTTTCTCGTCTGGCTTCTCTTCAACGACTCGCGCAGAAGTGTGCACAGAGCTCTTGATGGTCTCCGAAGGTGAAGAGGATCCACTGCAAGATGGTCTAGACAGACGGACCGCGAGAATCACCCAAGTGGGGGGCCGAAGGAAGGTACTAGGAAGGACGTCTGAGGCTCTTCTCTCTCTATTCTCGTGGTGTGTGGTGAGGCTACTTTGGGAGATGCCAGGATGTTGCAAGTGTCGACGACGGTGAGCCGGGAATGGAGAAACCTTGGTGTCTGTGGTGAGAGTCGAGTAGTGTGTGTCGTGGTGGAGAACTGGCGAGTGAACGACAGATTTGGTGTTTTTGTTATTTGTTGTTTAGTCGACTTATGAAGGATGACGACGGTGACGATACGGTCTTGTTGGTTTGAATGTAATTTATCCTCAGGAACGACAAGGACGAGTGGGATATGCCCGGCACAAGACGAGTCCAAACGCAACAGCGTACTTTGGCTGAAGAAACGAAACAATGTGGGAAGTTGAGATGAGGTGCAGTTGCGTGCGTGTCGTTGGTGTATGTGAGAGGTCGTGGCGCTTTGTTATACTACAAGGGGCAGAAGGGAGACGATCGCAGGCAGGCCAGTCCAAGATTATCGTGGAGGCGTTGCTTTATGAGCGAAAGACGTGAGGCGTCTGATGAAGGTATATATTATCGGCAGCAATATAGCATTACATTCAAAAAGAAGTGGTGCTTCTCTGCTCTGCTGGAGCGGGCAGGTTGCTCTTCCAGGGGCCCCTGGAACGAGGTATGGATTCTGAGCAGGGGGATAGGAGAGCTGTGGAGGCGTGGAGTGAGGTACGCTCCTAGGTACCTGAGGTAGTACCGATTGGGCCCTTTCTTATTTTCGACGGTGCAGACGGGTAACAGAGAGGAGAGGCAAGGCAGGGGTACCGGTAGGGTAGGGTAGGGTAGTGGGAGTGAGGGAGGGAGGAAGGAGAGAGGAGGAGTACCAGGAGGAGGAGGAGGGTAAGGGTAAGGTAGGTCGAGTGACTTTTGGCATGTACCGTAACCGGCGTCGTCCTCGCCAGCGGGTCTTGGTGTGAGAGACGCTCGAGCGCTGGCAGGCAAGGTAGGGCCGGCCTGGTTTTGCTACAGAAATTGATTAGATCAACCGAGAGGAGAAACCACGCGCCAGACTTAGATGGCGGACGGCCCTGCGGGCGTGGCGATCCTTAGAACGGGGGAGTAGGTAGTCGTTCTGTGCGTCAGGTCGCAGACGTTCAAAACGGAATAGCCTCGATATAAATATATTATACGTTTTTTTCTGGCTGACTGTCCGGAAAACGGGATAGAAGGAGTAGTAGAATTTGAAAGGAATAGATGTTTGCTGGCGGGCTTGTATTGGGCGGATGGGAAATTTGAGTTGAGGGGAATGACTGAGTGAGAGAGAAACTGCAAGCGCACAAACACACACCCGCAGGTTGAATGATGTCTACTTTTGCTGTTGCTGCTGCTGTTCGCTGGCTATATGCCGGGACCGAGAAGTCCGCACAACCCCAGTGTCCGAGCAAGTTCAACTGCACCTGGGGGCAAGGAGGCGGGAAAACGGGTGATGAGTGGGAGTGATATCCGTAGGCCAATGGACCCTCAAGATGTACACAGCTCGAAAAGCATTCAAGAAGAAACAAGGCCCCGATGTGACGAGTCGAGGTGGCAGAGTAATGATGAGACGCTCTAGGTATGCCGGTAGCAAGGGCCTCTAGTTTCTATTCTCCTCTCAGATCGCCTGCCCGTGGAGGTAATCGTTGGCAAGGTGTATGAGAAGAGGGGGTAAGTTTGCTTTATGTTGCAAAGAAGGAAGAGAGATCTGATACAAAAAAAAAAAAAAAAAAAAGAGAGAGAGAGAGAGAGAGAGACGGGTATGGTACTGTATGTAGATACTGCACTGTACGGTATGACAGCACCAGAAGGAATGAACAAAAAATAAAAACTTGTTGGTGATGACTTTTGGGGAGGGGGACCCTGGGAAAGCGGTGCTGGTTTGGATGGAGAATGAGCAGGGCTGAGGTGACGGTTGGGGAGCGCGTCTGTGAGGTGAGGACGAGCGGTGTTGAAGATGAGATGTGAGGAGCGTTTCTTTTTCCACGACGTCTCTGTGCTGCTGCTGCGTCGCTGGCGCTGGTCTGCTCTGGTGATGGGGGTGGTGGTGGAGGTTCCGCAAGCCACGGCCGCAGTTCCCTAACGAACGGACAAAGTCGGGGGTCTGTCCTCTCGGCGAGGAAGCACAGTCGCTGGGAAGAAAGCTTCGAAGAAACTGCCAGCAAGAGGTCCCAGAAAGGTGGGATAACGCGGAGGGGGGCCGAGAGAGAGTGAGAGTGAGGAGATCTCGAAAAGCTCCAGCCAAGTCCGGGTCCAAGATGATGAACAAGGTTGTTGAACGTGTTGGAGAATCAAAAGAAGGTGTGTGTGTGTGTGTGTGTGTGCTGTGTGATGTGTGTGATGGCGTCGGCGTAGATGGCGATGTGATGTGCACACAGACAATTGGGCCCAGATGTCGACAGCGGTCAAGCGATTTGCGAAGGACAGACGATTGACGCAAGGTATGACTGGACTGCCGGTGATGGAGGGTGGGTTGAGGTTTTTCTTAGCGGGCGTAAATGTGCGTGATGGCAGACTGCATGCTCCCAAAAAGACGCGAGAAAACCACGATGAGAAGACGATGTGCCCCCCTGTCCAAACCGTAGGCGTAGAGAAAAGAGCGAGTCGAGGTAACGTCGAGAATGTAGTAATCGAAACCACACGAGAAACCGGGAACAGCAAAAGAGTGTGATGGCCAGTAAAGAGACGGGCAAGGCAAGGCAAGGGTCGGTTCAAACAGCAGCGGCAGCAGAAGAAGATGAAGAAGAAGAGGAGGAAGAAGAAGTAGTTCAACAAAACGTATTCGCAGAGTCAATCATAATATCACAATTCAACAAGAGGCTTTTCGCCTTCCCGCGGCCGACGTGGCGGTTGCGGCTTCGATTACCGTTGCGCGGGCAGCCGGCGGGGCGGCATTTTCTTTTACAACAAAGAAAGTGAGCACCAACGTTGCGGTTGTTTCCTTTCCTTTGTGTGTATGAGGATGTAGTTGTTGATCCTGCCACGCCAGAGAGAAAAGCAGGAGGTAGGGCGAGAAAAGAACCACACACATCTAGACTAGCCGTCGCAGTTGCTGAGCCAAAAACGCTACTGTGGCAGTAGCAGAGGCAACGGTGATGGATGGGACGGGGCGGCCGTCGCATGGGAGAAGGAGAGACGGAGAGTCGGAGAGAGAGAGAAGCTGCTGACCCTTGATCCAACAACAAAAGTCCATAGTTAGACTATGGAGTACACGACTACGTTCACGGGCTGCCAGTCGAACGTTTGATCGAGGACGCGAATGGAGTGTAATGAAGCAAGCGAAGCGAAGCGACGGTGTAAGTGGTGCCCAACTCAAGGTAGTATGCGGAGAGAGCCTTCTCTCATTGGTGTCGTGAAATGCATGGTCAGAATGATTGACTACTACGAAAAGGTAGCCTTGCATCGCTTCCAGTCCGTCCCGGTCTGGCTGTCTCTTGTCTCCAAATGAAAGTCGTCCTCTGCGGTTTTCCTGGCCCCTTTGGTGGAGACGGGCACGATACCTAGGAGTATATACAGTATGTTGAAATCGTGGCTTTCAAGGCTAGACCGAGACCGAAGGCGTTTGGTTCTCTCGGCGTACCTTGGCTGAGCCAGTCTCTTTTCCCTGACCCTCTCCCTCTCTCTTTGTCTCTCTCTCACTCAAAAATGGCAATCTGGCGATGAAGCCCGACTTGCTGTGGCCGTTCAACAACGTCAGAGACTTATCCCCACAACTGCCAACCTTGCTGAGGCCGCTATCTCACTGGGTGTGTGTACAGATACCCATGGAGTTCGGAGTTGCGGATACTCTGCACAGAAACTCTCCCACTTTCTCTCCGTGCCTAATAAATACCAAATGGATCGAGGTGAAAAAACTGCCAGTATGTATCCGTACCCGTACCAACGTCCCTATCCCGCCCACTCGGTCGCAACCTTGCTCCATAAGAACGTCGTAATGGTGAGCAGCAAGACCTCGTCCAAGTGCAAGGAGTGACGAGAAACCCCCCCACAAGTCGTTTCTTGAGCGAGCAGAAAGAAAATCCCAAGCGAGGAGATACCAAGACACAGGCGTGGAGAGAAAGAGAGAGTCCTGGCTGAATGGGGGCGGAAAGCTGATAACTCACTTTCTACCTTACGCAGCAGACTGGAGTCTTGTCCCACGCCGTTGTCTCCTGTTATTCTTCTTTTTTCGTCGTCGTCGTCGTCTTCGTCGTTTCTCGAAAGGCGAGGTACAGCAGGTCAACAGGCACAGGGTTCAGGTCCAGGCCCCCCAGGTGTAGTGTGGGCGTGCGAGGAGACAGGGCAAGACAGGACAGTGGGAAACGTTCAACAGGTACCTGCAAGCCTACAGAGCTCGCTCTCCCCCTGTCTGCTCCTTGTCTTTCCTCTGTCTCTGTCTCTGTCTCTGTTTTTGTTTCTGTTTCTGTGTCTCTCTTCTCTGCATCTGGTCTCTGCCACTCACCGGGGCCGGATCCAGGGGCCAGGGGCTGGAAAGTGAGATGCGGTACGTACCCAGTCGACCTAGTCAAGGTAAGGTAGACCGTAGACCGTAGACCATACTGCGTACTGCGCACTACGCACCTAGAGAGCTCTCCCAGACTCTCACTCCCAAGCTGCACAGCTCCTCCAGCTCCCAGTCGACGCACCCCTCCGCCCACGCCCACTCCTACAGCCCACGCCTATCCATTGGAAGAAATACCATTCAAGCTGGCGTCGTGGTCGTCTTCGCAGTACGGATACTTTGTAAACCACAACCGAGACGCACAGTACTGTACGTGAGTACGTACTTGCTTCCTCTTGCTTCCTCTTAGATGATCCACCCAGAAACCCTCCCCCCACAATGACTCGTCGTTTCCCATTGAGAACGCGACGCGCGCACCTGTGGATGGGAAGACTCAAGAGGGGAGCTGCCCGATAGCACCGGTGCATTAAGACCGTCGGGGCATATTGGAGAAGAGGACCGAAAAGTAAGCCGTTAACTCTGGTAACTCAAACTCTCACCCAATGGCGACCGGAGACGAGACAAAGGGGCCGAAAAACGCTTGCCAATCTCGTTACGCTCTCCTCCTTCTTCACTCTCACTCTCACTCTCTCACTCATCCTTCATCCGAATATCAAGGAGATAAGGAGCCAATTTAGAGAAATGACCGAGAAACCAGGCAGAAACCTTCGTTCCGGCTTAGCCATGAAGAAAAGAGCGAGAAAATGAGAGAGACAGCAGAAGGAGACATGTTTCGCGGTTTCGGGACCAAGTCCGCCTTCCCTGTTTCCCGACCCCCCCCCCCCTCCTCCAAAGCCCGCCAACCCGTACTCAATCTCTCACTTCTTCAGCACACAACAGCAGCAGCAGACGCAGTATGCGTAGCCTGTAGGTGCAATGCTCGAACTTCGGACACTGAGAGAGGGAGAGAGAGAGAGAGAGAATGAGACAGGGAACAGGCGAGGAGGACAGGTACAGCCAGGGCTTACAGAGTAGGACCTCCGCCGGAAGAGACCTTGAAGCTGTCTGTCTGCAAAGCCATTACTAGCGAAAGACCTTTGCCTTCAGGGACAAGGGCTCTACGAGCGGAAAGGGAAGGGGAAGGGGGGTGTCGCCCGAGAAAGTCTTTGCCAAGAACCAAACCTCCGGCAGGGGTGGGAGAGCATCCGCACCCGAAGGCAAAAAAAGGGATGCGGGCCTACTGCAGGCCCATGGTCGCCGGGGTCCCCCCTTTGGCTCCGAGCTGGCCGCTTCTGGGGCACACACCTTTTCTTCTCAGTGTCTCTTCTTCTTCCACTCTGCCCCTCTGCTCGAGGTACGTAACTTGTCTCCCTGCTCGCTCTCTGTCTCCTCCACCGCAAACTGAGGAAAAAAGAAGACCAGTTTCTCACCCCCCCTGACCACCGTCGTGGTGGTTGTCTGCTCAGTGCTGCCGACCCATCCCAGGCCCAGGATAAGGTATTAGGTAGGGTTGTCCAAGAGAATGGAGACGGCATGAGAAGCCGCAGTGACAGGTAGCGAAGGTGGTGGGGTGAAGAGCGAGGATGGTGTGTCATGTTGCATGTGTCGACCTGATGCTCCCTTTTCGATGCTCGTTCTATCGATGTGTGTACGGAGCAATAACAGCATAACTCATGAGGGAGTATTGGCATACTGGAGGATGGTGGATGGATGACATGTTGTAAGCTTTGAGACTGACGTAGTGCGCCTCAGTCAAGCCCGTGAAGCTAGTGATCAAGCCGTCTCGAGAGGACTGGAGGCGGAAGATGACAGTCCAAGTAAGCATCTGCAGCTCAGGCCGAATTGAGGATGCTGTCCTCGTGTGAAGATTCTGTCCTGCCGCCTGCCACCTTTTGCGCTGCATGGTCGCACAAACTCCGGTGGGGAGGGATGAGATATGTTACAGCCGCAGAGGAGAGATTCGGCCCCGGCTCGTCACAAAGTGTAGATTCCGGCAAGGTATCGATCGAATCCTTCACTGACTGGACCACCGCCTTACTCGATTCTGAAATGCGTATCGACCTTCTCCTCTCAACCCACACTTTGTAGGAAGGGCTCTGCCCACAAAACTCTTGGGAGTCGGGACTTATGCCCTGTGTCTGTTGCCGCCACAATCCGATTGCCTGCCAAAACTGAGTGGCTCATCTCCTCCCCACTTCCTTGTGCAGGACTGTATGGATAGTCTGTACTCTCTACGGATACCGCAAGCTTTTAGAGTTTGACCAGGAATCTGCAGATGTGTGGCATCGTCATGTCATGTCAGCGCTGCCAAATCGCAGCCGCCCTTCGCTACGCAGCGTAATGCTTCTTCCTTGCGTCGCATCCTCGTCCTTCAGCCCGTCTATCGATGCAAGCTTGTCGCAGCTGCACTAGACTGCATCCCGCATGCCAGATGACAGACAAGAAAGCTTCTTGTCCTTGTTTGATCGTGATCCGCCTTCCCCGTGGAGTAGCGTAACTTCGCGGCGTCTTCTAGTTGTCCAAGCCGATGTGCTACGTAAATCCTTTCGCGCCTTTCGAGTTTCCAGGCGTCCCTTGACTCTTGAGTCGTCTCATGGTTTATTGCCCCAGTCTTAAGCTCTGCAAAGCCTCGAGGCCGCGTCGGTAACCCATTGGAAAGCGGCTCTTGTTGACGAAGCATATTTCGATCAGCCCGCAACGAAAGGAAATTTTATCGTGACAGGTCTCGTACCCAGCAAACAAGCATCTAGGTTATTGACGCCCGGCAGCTGCACGCCCACATTCCAAGCTCTTATGGAGAAGGCTTGTCCCTGAGCTTGAGCTTGAAATAGAAAGAAAGATTAGGATAAAGGAAAAAAGAAGAAGAAAAGCGCTCATGAGCTTACCAATGGTCCCCTCATGTGCCCCTCCTGATCTCCATCTGTAGTTGTTAAGATGTCAGTGCCGTACGTACCGCTTCGACGACTGCAATGCTGTCGTCAACTTCGCAGGTGGAGGCTTCGCCCCTCATATGAACATGGCCCCTCCATGTCTGGCTGGTTACATTCAAACACATCAATCACCGGGTGTCTGTGGCAGCATACTCCGCCAAACGCGTGGTCTCGACAAGAGCCGTCAACGACAGCTGCATGCCGGAGTTACATCTGCCAAACCATTGCAGTGCAAATGGAGAGGCCACAGTCCAGGCTTGGGTCAGGCCAACCGTAGCCGACGCTGTTTTTTTTTTTGCCCACTTGAGCCTGCGGTGCTGACCGCCCTGGTATCTCGTCCCTAGCTCTCTTATCACTGGGCCCAGTCTGGTTGCAAGCCCCTGCTCGTTGGAGACTTGCCGACATTGTTAGCCCCCAAGAAACAAACTCGATTGCTCTCCCCCCCCCCCCTGGCGTTGGGGGACGTAAGTACCGCAGTACCCTTTGTCATCATCTATGGCGGTGACTACTCATGCGCCGCCTGGCACCGAAGAGGGCTGCAATATGGCCCGCGTTGTTTCAAGAGTGCAGCTCGGAATGGACATGTCTTGTTAGCCACCCTAGGATTTAGCCCTCCTCATACATACTGACACACTGCCTCAACATCGCCCAGGGGGCCTACAGTCGTTGGAGCTCTTCTCCATGAAGCCCACGAGAGGAGTCAAACAAAAGTAGTACTGGCTTTGTGGGATTTACCTCTCTTCGATCCCTGTCAGATGAAAATTGCCCTCCTCTCTCTGGCTCAAGATGCTGTCACGAATCGGAACGAATAGCTCCCGTCTCCCCAGGACAAGGCATCGTTGCCAGCTTGCAGAATCGCAACGGGGTCGCTTGTAGGGTCTGAGCTACATTGCCATGGCCATAGAGTCGAATTTCATCAAGAATATACGCCGACTGAAAGTACACTTGACGTCCTCTGATTGAATGAGAGGCCTCTCAGCGAAGACAAATGATCGATGATGCGCCTTTGATGGGCCTTGACCGGCGAAGATGACCTAACACTATGGGAAAGTCGATTCGTAGCTGTACTGAAAGCAATGGGTAGATTGTTAAAGGTGGAATAAACAACTTGGAACGGTTGCAACCGTCCCGCGCCGCACCAAATTCTTCACCAAGGTAAGGCAGGGGAATCCATGCTATTTGTCAATCATCCTCAATGCCCAAGCAGGGCCCCACGGCAGCTCTGTTTTCACCTACTATGTAGGCCAGCGCGGCCATCAACCCTCCTCAAGGACGTGCAAGGGGTACATTGGCATGACCTTTGAGCCCTCCATACCTTAAGCAGACCGTATCTCATACCGGCTCGCATCCGAAGTGGTGTTCCGAACAGGGGCTTGCTTCGTGGAGGGTCTGATAATGGAGATGCCGTGATTTCGTCAAGCACCTCGCTACTCCGTGAGGTATCCAGAACTTGACTCGATCAGTGCAGCTGTCCCCTGTAGCTTGCGCCTCTCTAGACGTGCCAAAGCTGGGAAAAAAGGGGTCCATGTAGGCCGAGTGCGGCATGTAATCTGCAAGATATTTCAACAGCGGCGGACGTGTGTTGAAAGTCGGGCTGATGCTTTGGACTTGTCATGGTCAAGCTGACCACTTTTCGCAAGTCGCAAGTCCATGGGTCTTGAACTCAAATGCCAATTTCTCAGGGGTGAGCTTGAAGGCTAGGCTGACAGCCCTAACAGTACCATACATCGCCTGTCGCGTTCCATCGCCCTAGCATTCACTTCCTTTGGATGGCCTCATTTAATCGTTGTCGTTAGTGTCAAGCCATCTGAATCTGCGGATCATCATGTCGTTCGGTCCGTTTTAGTTCAAGCTTCGATGGCCTAGAGTTACCCCAGACTCTAGGTCTCTGGATTGGGCAAAGGCTGTAATATCCTGGCCGGCCACCAATGATAAGTCAGATTTGGTGCTCATTTGAGAACCTCTCATTCATGCTCTCGGCCATGGTATACCAACGGGTTGTCTACTAAGCGGCACCAGGGCAGCTGCTGATAGATTGTGTGGAACTCAGTCGCAAACTGCTGCTGTCGTAATCGCACGTCAGCGCTTCCTCACTCGCGCCGCTTGGAGCATGGATTCGTGCGTTTGACCCAACGCTATGATTAAGCCTCTCGTTGCTTTTTTCGTTTGCTGCCGAAGAACCCCATCACGCACTACCTATCACCGCGGCCACATCCCGTCGCTGGGTGGGCGTTAAAGTTGCATGGGCCATAACGGAGGCTGTCAATGGCTTGTCCCAGTGCCTCTGTCGAAGATTTCTTGCCCTTTTCCCCTCCAAAACTACACAGTCCGTCTGTCACCAGTCTCAAAGACGAGTTGTGATAGAACAATAGCAACAGTTTTAGGCATTGAATGCTCCGGAGGCTTGTCGGTCATAAACCATACTTTTGATAAGCACAATCTCCCTTAGGAGTCCGGGCTTATCGAAATCGCAGCTACTCTCGATATTTGAAGTTTAAAATAAGCACTGTCAAGTCAGAGTCACTTCGTCGAGCAGCCACAGACGCATTCTCCGCCCGACCAGATATGTTGGCGCAAACAGCGGCTTAGACTCGTCGTTTCCCCTGTTCGTCTTCCCGTCGTACGTTGGATCTGCATCTGAGAAGTCGCAGGCGACAGCTACTTGTTAGAGACTAATCGAGAGTCGTCCTACAGTAGATTTTCGACAGTACGGATAGGTGCTCGTGCGCAGCAGGCGGGTGGTGTGAGGCGGTGGGCTATGATAGGTTGCAAAGGAGCGGCTCACCCAATGGCGACCTTCCTTCGCCTGGTGGTGGCCTACCTTATCAACCCTAGCTACACATCGCGGCCTTGCCCTCCTGACAGGAGTTGATGGCATGCTAAGGCCCCCGTTCCGATGGAGCCCATTGGCAGTTCCTTGCAGGTTAGGTCCTCTATTCGTAAGAGGTCGGGGCTTTGAGAAGCAGGCCGACCCTAGTGCACAGGGATGATAGCGCAATGCGGGATTCGACGAAGAGGTGCCGGGGAACCATACTTCGGAGCCGGAGCTGTTGCTGGTGGAGAGCTGAGAGAGCCTTGGCCAAAACTGGGCCATTGGAGATTGCCATGCACGTCAGTCGCAACCGAGCCAGCAAGGCAAAGATGTTTGTGCGAAGGCAAGATATCGTCGCCGAGGCCCCAACGACTGTTGAAGATGACCCGGCACCGTTGACTTCCAGCCCATTCGCGAAAAATGATATTATCTCGCCTGAAAACTCCCATGCCATGTTGTCTAGCGCCTTGATGTGTGCAGGTACTCTCTCTCTATGAGGCTCTCGGGTCTTGCTGCTACCGAGAGAGCAGTTCGGGCATGGGATGGTGGTGCGGCAGACATAGCGGCCCAAGAAGTACTTCTTTTGGTACGCCATGCTATCAGACCGGGCGTCACGGCAAGAACGGCCCCGGCCGGCCGGCCCCGGCACTCAACGAGGTTTAATAGCGTCAAAAGGAGGTACAGACGTCTAGATGCCTCGACAATGGCCTCCAATGTACCACCCACAGCCCGATAGCGTAGGAGACGAAGCGGCTTTTGCTTGAGAAGGGTGTGTATAGTGCGCTGGGCGACGAGGTGGAGCGCAGATGGTGAAGTGTAACACGCATCACTTGACAACCTAGCAGATCCAGGGTAAGAAAGATGCTCTCCCACTCCGTCATCAACAACACGGTGAAGACCCGAGAGCAGGTAGGTGGGGTGGTGTGGGATAACTATCCCGTTGGATGACACCCTTATGCGTAATGAAAAGGGTTGTCGATCAATTGAGTTGGAGACCTAAAGAGCGGTGGGAACAAGATGGTGCACGGGCGGAGGGGCCGAAGGCGATGTTGAGGGTCGTCGGTCGTGTATTCGCGCTCTAGGTCCTAAGTTCGCGATGTTCGTTGATGGTTGCGTATTGAAGGGCGGAGGCGGGAAGCGGGAGGGCAAGTCGGTCCAGACACGGGACAGAAGCCAGGGATTTGGCGGCTGGCACATATGTTTTGGGGCCAAGTAAAACGTGGCAATGGAAGGGGGGGGGGGGGAGGCAAGCATCATGGTCGTCGCCTGTGTTTCCTGTGGTGTATTGTGGTGCATGTGCTTCGCCTCTCCCCCCGGGATTGAAGAAATAAATCCTATCAAGATGGACGTTGTTGACGTTTCAACGTGGCTCGTGACTCTTGACTCTACGAGACTGACTCAACTCAGAAAGGCACGCATCTGCGTCCTTGCCTTCTTGCTCCAAAAATGGCTGCGATGCAAGGAAACCAAGGCAGGTGCTCCGAAGGCAGTCACCTTCTCTTGATGCCGGAGTGGGAAGGCACGGCTTCATTTACTTAACCGCACCTACAAGAGCTCTGCGCTTGGAGGTGATCATGATCCTCCTTTTCACTGTTTTGTACCCTTTCCGTCTGTTGTTGCTTCCATTTCTTTGAAAAATATCTTTCGGGAACCACCTGCATCAACAGAAACGCAATTGCCATCACAAGTTCTTCGAGTGCCGGTGGGAGAGGAGGTCTGACTTACATACCTTCTCTCTTGCCTTGTTTCGCTCCTGCCGTATTACTGTGCCGTGTGTGCCTCTCGACTTTCCCTGCATTGATCTGTCCCTGAGCCGTGCCGACCCTCTTCTGAGTGATCCATCTATTGGTGGGCGATGTCATTCTTAACCCCACATTGGGCCGAAAAGGGTCAGAGTCTTTCCTTCCCTCGGTTCCTTGCAGCAAGGCACACAATGGAAGGCAAGCGGGAAAGCACGGCAAGAGCATTCTGGACCTCGCTGCTTCACCGCCCTCGGGCTGCCCCAGCCCTCCCACGCTTTCCCACGCTTTTCCACCGCCCCCAAAATCTGACTGAGCAAATCATCATCGTCCAATTGACCCCACATGATGTGAAGACTGTAACGCCTCCCACGCATCTACAAAGTATTCCATCGCGTCGCATCACCAGGAAAAGCCCTCAGAGTGTCACCGAACCAGACTTTGTCATCTTTTGGTTCGAAACATCTGCAGGTGGGCTACCTTATGTTACTATTTCTTCCACAAACGTCTTGACCGTCTTTGTGATAATCTGCAGACGCCACTTGTGGCTCTCCTCATGTGGCGTTGTGCAGCAGCAGCAGCAGCAGCGGCAAATTAGCAACCGCATGCTGTCCTCCACATTATGCCGTTAGGTACCCCTGGCCCCTCTCAGATCAGACAAGAAATTCCCGAATGCTACCAAGAGCCCCTCTCGATTGTCTACCTGCATCATGTATCGTCAGATAGTCGAGTCTTTCAACCACATTACGCTCAACTCTGGCTCAATACTCTACTGCGTACTCCTTACCACATGGTGATTGACCATTTCTTCTCCCCATCCACCTATTCCCGTCCCGTCTCCATGGCTTGTGGACTGACACCATCATCCACCACCACCTCCTCCCCTTCTCCAGTTTACCGCTGTTCTCTAACCATTGCTTGCGCACAGACCTACGCCTCATCCTCTCGGTCCAGGCACGAAGAGAGTTGAAGAAGGGGGGGAAGAGAAAAAGGGTCACTACGTTCGGTCGCGAGTGGGTGATCTGCGACCAAGATGCTGACGAAACGTGGCTGACATGCCTGGCCTGTCTCTGCTTGTTAACCGGCCCTCCACTGCTCGTCCTGATGTCTGCAGCGTGCGGCGTGCCTGGCTTCCTGCCCGTGCCACCGGCCGATTGTGGGGGTTGCATTCTACATGGACTCAATCACCATTCGCGTCCAATCTTCAGTCCCGAATCCTGAATACTAGAACGAATCTGACAAGCAAATCGCACTTCCTCGACCGGTAGAGACAGCCCACTTGCAGACTCACCTACTTGCAAGTGTCTATCATGCAAGCCAGTGTATTCGGATCACACTGGAATCCAGTGCGGATAAAAGTCTCCTAAATTCCTAGCGGTCATTCCGCCGTATGTACCCTATCCCATACCCTGACGTTGCCAGCCTCTCGTCCAAAGAGGTAAAGAACCCGCAGAGGAAGTGGCTAGACTCGAAGGAATGAATCGTTTAGGTCGTTACGGATACTGAACGAACACAGTACGGTAGTCCCTCGTACCACTTTTTCTTAACGCAATTCGACAGTTGGACCGGCGAGGTGTGCCTCGGTCACGTCCAGGCCATCCCAATGGGGTAACAAATCCATGAGGGGAACTACTGCAGGTGCTAAGCTTGTCCCACTGATGGTGCAGTTCCTTGATTTTGCGTCGCATGGCAATTGCTCCGGCTACCACATCAAACGCCCAGAACGCACCGCAGACAATGACCGCAAGGCTCAATCAACGGCCTACCCTTCGGACTCTGGTGCCTGAGAATCTTACTTCTGGGTGATATACACTGGATAGTCCGCAACGGGAAATGCCGTATGCCGTCTGGCCCTGGTCTGGTGACTGAAAGTTGACGAAAGTCGTCACCCCACAAGGGGCAGGTCCCTTCAACTTCATCCGCAATGAGGGGCATGGTGTGCGCAATTGCCATACTATCAAGTAGAACAACACGAACTCGTGCAATCGGGTACGCAGGTTCATGCTCACTCGGATTAGGCGATAGGTGCGGTAAGAAGATACGGCAAAGCAGACACACACACAGACACACACACCTACACGTACACGAACACGCATACACCATCACCACTACGTGTATACGATGATACCTGTGTTCATTGTTAGTGGCTTGCTCTGGCCTGAGAGTCTGGGACGCACGCTGGCATTGCTGGCACACACCATCAACACCTGCTAGACTTGCCACTTATTACAAACGGGGAAAGAATTCTGGTGAAATCCCAATCAGGACTACCGTTCACCTGCGCCTTTCGTTCCAGCCCTGGAGGCAATTGTTCAGCTACGAGACTAAACAGGATCATCATGGGTCCCTAGGATCAAGTCTCGAATGACGAAGATGAGCATCATGAGCAAGGCAAAAAAGAGAAGAACTGGCGAAGACTTTAGCCCACTGGCCCTCACGTGGGAGTGATGATCGTCCGGGATAAAACGTGGGACCTATTCTAGGTTCGGTCTTGGAAAGCCCCATGTGGCTGCTGCTAGTGTAAAACAGCAGTTCAGCTGAAAGCCTGGCGGTCTTGCTGCGTGGCTGGACCCAAGTTTGTTTGACTAACACCTTGCGAAATGACCTGGATGGGTTGGTTTTCTTTCCGTACCATGGACTCTGGTGTCTCGAGGCCTTGTCACTGGTGGCCCTGTCCATTGGAGAGAATGGAACAAGATGAAATTGAAGACCGAGAAGTGCGAGGTCAGTGTTCGTACTAGCCTTTCTATCAACACCATGATTCTATCCGTATCTGGGGTCCCTCCTCGACTTCCCAGCCACCGCCGGGCCTGCTTGCGAGCTTGAGGATAAGTGGCTCGCCGGCGTGAGAGATGCTGCAGATTGCCAGACTGAGGTGCAGGCCGCAGTCGGGGGATGTGGGGCACCGGTGAGCTCCCACTCGTTCCAGAATCCGGCGGGCCAATGAGCAAACCCCGTAGAATCACTTCATCTGAAACGGGGTCGAAACGGGACGTATCTTTTCTATGGACATGTTCAAGTTCACTGTTCTGGTCGATTTTAGTCCCGTCATCCATCACATCACCCGGTTATTTGTCTTTATCTTACTTCCAGGATATTCTATGAGAATGGTACGTACTGTGAGCTGTCGAGATACTTACCTCAGGTACCTTACTGCGTACGAAGTAACGTAGAGTAAGTACCGTATTACCTAAGTCCCCATAAGTACGTCTCGTGCCGGGCCTACTGAGCTTACTTGACTTACCAAGGTACCTTAAAGGGGCTCAACAACTGCCTAACAGTCTGTATGCAGATAAATTGGGAAAGAGACGAACCTTAAGCCGTCGTGACCGCCTTACTGAAAAGTAGAGATATCACCGGCAACTATCAACTGGAAGGAAAGAGGAGGGAAGTGCTTACTACGTGCAGGCTCAACTACGCCTAGGCCCGCTACCTATCTTACATAGAACTTCTGTTAGACGCAGCTTCCCAAGGCAGTACTTGCCACAGAACCCCCCTCATCCTCTTCCTGCATGGAGCGGGCAACCAGCGGCTTCTTCCCCGAGGCCACCAACGTGATGGAAACCACCGGATCCCCAACTACCCATGACACTGCTTGACAACCTCACACACCACCACCACCACCACCACCACCACCACCATGATCACTATCTCCGCGACCGACCCGGGCACCATCCTCTCCCCTTTTGCTCGGGACAGACCGCAGACTGTCCCTCTTCGACTTTGATGACTGTCTGTTCACTGCATAGGCGAGGCCCACCATTGTGCCGTGCCGTGCGTCTCCTGGAAATAACTAGACCCGCCAGTGACAGACAATGATCCATCATTCGAAATGCCCAGGATATGGACACCGCCGGGCCAGACACTACCAAGAACGAGTCGAATCAATGTCCACATGATATCGTCGACACCGTCTACGAAGGCGAAGGCTCTTCGTTCGTCATCACGGCTGCACCGCCCCGTCATGGTTAGCTCTCTTACTATCTTCGTCGGGGTTCAGGAACGTGGCGAGCAGAAAATTGATCCCTCGAGACATGACGCCACAAACACCAGATCGGTCTTGGGGAACGGGGCCCGCGAACAGACCTCCCAGGCTACTCGCGGCCGCAGCCAAGAATCTTGCCTCTAGACTCGGATCTATACCCGTCTCTTCTAGACTCAACAACTGTCTCTCCCAAACTACAGGCGTATATGCGACAGCTACGCGGTTTACTTTCAGAGCACGGCAATGCTTGGCACACGGCACCTGTCCAGCCGTTCACATCCGAAAAAGAGCAGGTCTCAACAAACTTCATATGATTCTTGGCTCCATAGCCACGATACAAGTTCCATGAGCGCAAGTATTCGCTGCTCACCATGGGTCGTTCACGTCTCCACCGTCAGACACGTCTCGACAACAGTTTCCATCACATAGATGACATGGCATTTGTCAGTCACCTCTCAAACGTCACATCACTCACACAAGTAGAGTGCAACTGTGGCTTTGCACTGCTATCGAAACACTGCCCGATCTGCGACGGCCACTACCACAGACCATGCGTTCGCCTCTACAAGTACTGTGTGAAAGGGCGTGCATTAGCTTGAGGTGGACGCAACTCCGGCACCCGGTCTCAACAGCAAACTTTACGCCGTCCATGTCGACCCGAACCATACCAAGGACTTGCTGCACCCGTCTGGGGAACAAATCGCCCAAAGATCGCCATATTGAAATCCTTAGCACATTGCCAGTCCAAGTTCTGGGTCCCAGAAGGGATGCTTACTAGACTGAACCGTTGAATCTCGTCTATCACCTTCGTATGCTCCGTTCGTACGGATACACGAGGAACCAGAGCTGGAAACCTTTCAGGAAGCGGTCTGCCCTACACAGCGCGCGCAATGCGGCCCGGCAGCCCATTGCAAGCAGTTTTCTATTCTTCCCCTAGGCCATTTTCACGGATCATCGTCGAACGTGCTCTACTTCTTATCTCCGCCCACCTACTTGTCGCATATCCGTCCAGATTCCTGGTCACCGTATCATGCCATCATTGCAGAGTAGACATGGGAGACTGACTACATTCCGCAATACATTGATCGGATGAAGAATCTTCACCTGGCAATCACGGTTGCGCCGAGCTGGTATTCATTTTCCACGAGCTTCAGAGGCCCGCCATTGTCGGCGGGGGGGGGGGGCATGAACCTTAGCATTCACCACATATAGGGGGATCCGTACCTTCATGCGGGTTCCGCCCCTATGCAGGAACGACTAGCTCGGCCAATAGCTTTCACGCATCAAAGCCGGTGCCCCTTCAGCATCGGCGCCAGCCACACGCATTCGACTGGCCGTTTCACACTCTTCTTCATTTCAGAATAGACTAACGGCGCCGCAAACTGCAAACTTCTTTGGGGTCTCGAGTCTGACTAGAGACTTACATTCTTCGAGCAAAACACCTAAGTAACGTGATACTACGGGCGTCTTTCTGACATCGGAAACGGGTTTCAAGTAGTACGTTCGGCCCGGCCCCAATTAAGACCAGATCAACTCTCTGCGTTGCCCAGTGTTCCGATGTTGATAGGCCCTACTGCCAGTCATCGTTGTCCCTCCCGTCTGGAAGGGAGCACCCCTTCTTTGCCTTGGATCTCCCTTGTTGGAGTGTTCGAGGGACCCAGGTCTGCCAGTGGGTGTATCCACATCTCATCCAGGCCTCCGCCAACTCAGGCTCTGGAATTCTGCTTCCGCAGAGATCGTCTTCCGCCCATCCCAAGTCTATCACCCAGGGGGGCTGGACAGCTCCTGCGGCGCACGTCCTCTGCTATACGACCCTGCCAACGACTAGCTCGTCACCGCCCTGAACCCCCCAAGCTATCACGCCATTTTTCGTCTGCCGCGATGCTCTGGGATAACCTCTACGGCAGTATGCCTGCTCTACTCTCGCACGAATCTGGACAACCCTCGTAGGACATCTTCTCAAGCTCATACGGAGAGACCACACAAGTCCGTCGCAATGGACTTGCGGCCCCAAGCATCTAATAGAGGTACCGACAGGCCGAAATGAAGAATCACCAAGTGATCAGTGGGATCCACGGGGCAAGACTTGTAGCTACGCTCAGTGACACGACTGACACGTCAATTCGTACCTGCCTCCATCTTTCTGCGTCTCCTTCATCACTATCTGCATGAATACGGAACCCAGTCAAGTACTGATTGGCCAAGGAAATGATTTCATACAATCTTTTACAGGGTCGCTCATGAGATATACAACACTCTGTCCTGGGTGTGCTTCTGATTTTTATCAAACGGAGGTTCTCTATGTCAGTGCCCCAGCGAGACCAATCACCAAAACAGACCCCGAATGGAGAGAACACTGAGAGAATTTATGAGCTCGCAAAAGATGCAGATGTCGCGATACAGGGCGTGTGACTCGCGATGTCCGCTCGCACCAATTGGTAGGACTTGACGAGGGGCTCTCGCGATGGGCTGAGCTGACGATAGAGATACTCGCACCACGTGCCATCGCTGGGTCCATGTGGGGATGCTTTAAGAGAATTGGGGTATCAGACGAGAGCATTCCATGTCTCTCGTCGAGTAAAGACAACTCAGAGCGTTGCTTTCTCGGTTTCGGCGGAAATCTCTGTGCCAGAAACGCTGGAGAGGGAAAGCGTAATAGATTTCCACGCTTCGCCAGGACTAAGTTGTTCCTTTGCCGCGTATTCTCGAGGCTGTGACCGAATTACCGGTTGTTACACGGAGTATTGAGCCGTGGTTTCCAGCGCGGGCCACCCAGCACCTAAGATAACCCTTGTTGGGGATGGGGAAATTGGACACGGACGCATCGGACTTGCTCCAAATTTCGCCGCCACGATCCGGAGACATGGACCTGAAGAAGATTAAGAAAGAAGAATACACTGGGTCTCACGAGATTCCAATCTTCTCGAAGCTATATCTGGCGTGATGGCCAACCTGAATACCAGACGACTGGGAATTGTCCAGAGAAATGATTGGGGAAGCGTTGAGAGAAACTCGTCATGTTGCATTCAAAAAGACCCGACAGGACCAAGAGGATAATCACAACCCTTTCTCTCATGATATGCCGACACCGTCACTCCGCCGCAGTCGGAGTCTCTACGGGTTCGTGTGGGCAGAAGAACAGAATATACCCTGATGAAACATGGATCGTCGGCGAGCGCAGGCCGCAGGCATGCCTGGGGTTTTCTCTCGTGGTCCGTGGCTGTATCTGTACCTGAAGATCCCTTCTCAAACAGACAACTCGAGGCTTTAGTTCGCTGGGATTGACCTGGCCGCACGAAAATTCATCATCAACATCGCAATGAAGTTAAACGATAACCTCAAACTCCAAAGCCGAGTGCGAACTTCTATCCCAGTCACCGGACGAATATTCGTTGAATCGCTCGTTGCCGGCACGTTATCAAAGGACAAAAAAAGGTTTAGATATTTCGGGTTTGGAGAGCCGCTAGACCATAATGGCGGCCGCAAAATCTAGGCATCAAGGATCAAGCCCACAGTCTGGTCAAACGGACTGTGGAAGAGACCGGCACCGAAGTATATCGGGCCAGCATGTCGTCCAAACTGGCTTCAAAGAGATCTTCGTATGGTCGGAGACGCCATCCTAGGCAACCCCTCAGCAATCCAAGAGTGCCAATTCATTTAGGCTGGTGGACCTTGGTGCTTGACAGACAAGTTCAGCAACTGGCCCAGGCTTATTTCATCCGTGAGTGCACATCAAACGTTGACAGCAACCCCCTTGGCCTTTTACGTCTGCTCTAGGTATCCGCCGTGGCATTGTCTCCTTTTCAATGTAACCCGGTCCTTGGCACTGAGCTATCCCAGGGCAACGTTGAACTGCATGTGGGGGTTTCGATTTTCGAAGCCCACTTCCCTCTGCCGTGCTGAACATTGTACGGATACTGCGTACACAGTAGACGGGCATTACCGGACGGAAATGCTGGAGATAGGTACTTTTCCTCGACATGACCTCTTCTATGGATCAGCCATGAACCCCTCGCAAGGATAGGCACTCATGTGTCCAGCGCCATGGCCACAAGCTGACAGGTAAGTTTTCATGGTTCAAGGGTTACGAATTTCTATCTACGAGAAAGAGCGTCATGGCAAGCATGTTTGGCTTCAACGCACGACATGTAAGTATGGCCGTGGCCGGCAGGCACTGGGACAAGACGGTGCCTTTTTCGGGCTCGCTAGGGCGTGGATCCGGGGCATTCCTGGGTGAATCCCAGTGAAGCGCGTACAAGAACAGACATCGAATTACGGACACGGCGATATTGAACTATACGATGCCGCGGTGTTCCGAGACTGACGTTGAATTGGGCAACCGGCGGAAACGAGCAGCTTGAAATTGGCATATTGAACGAGAACGGATTTGTGGGCTCGCGGCAGTTGAACGTTGCCCAAGTCGGTTGTGAGCATTGTTGGTCAGAAGTGAGTTGTGAATGTGGCAAGCCATCAGAACGTCGCAAGCTAGGAAGGAGGATGCAAGGTTTTGCCGAAACCAACGCATCGCCTATTACAACGACAAAGTACGCCAACCAGAGCTGTCTATTGATGGCCAAGCAACGATTGGATGTTGCCTTCGAACGTACACGCTGGTATCGATTCAGTGTACTCGAGCCGTCGTGCTTGGTCTTGAGTGGTGGTGACGTCGACCACAACCGTTGCAAAACTGCAGATTAGGGGGAGGGGAGCTCTTGTGGGCAGCACCCAGCCCAACAAGCCATGTCCAAATGGAGCGACACCCGGGAACTCGATTGGTCAGTCTGTTTGCTGGCTTCCCTTGAGCTGGGAACCTGACGTGCCTGGGCAGAGGATGAGGGAAATTTCCGATGCCGGTTGTGGCCGTGATCTTATCCAATGGCAAGGGGCAATGGCTGCCAACCGGGCAACACCAATCCCAAGCCAATGGAAACCGCTGCATCATCCCACGCCACGACTATCAAGCTGCCCTTGTGCGGCGTGCCAGCCCTGACTTGAGCCATGTCGACGGGCAGCAGGCAGTGAACAACGGCCCCCAGGGGACACACCAGGCCCGACTTGGCTTTCTCTGCTCACCTGTGCCGCGCAGTTCCATTCCTTCGGGTCTCTCGAAGGGGGCTGACAGCCGGACGGAGACAGAATACCTTACACAGTACCTTGCCGAGTGTCTAGTTGCCTCCTTTTGTCAGCCGCGACCCAGTTCTTTGCCTTCATTTTGAATCTCGCATCTGACTCCGGTGCTGGGCCTTGTTCGTCTTGAGCCGCTGGCCGTCAGGACTCAGAAGTCAGAAACCACTCAGCTTGCACCATCGACAAGCCTTGCCGGATCCTACCCCGGCCTCATCGGTCAAGGGCTTGCTATCCGTTTATGGCTTGCTTCAGGTCGTCACCTGAAGAATCGTCTTCTCACCCCGGCGAGGCAGGCAATGCCTGTCATGATCCGCCCTCATTTCCAACCGGATCCATTGACCGCCGCTCTCGCCTGACCTGACAGCGGGCTTTGCCGTCATTGCAGCAAACAGCGCAGCATGCCTTGCCCGGTGTGTTTCTTCTCGCCGTGAAATTGTGGCCTGAGCACGCGGTGCGACTGGCACACGAGGCCTGCTACCGACCACTGGATTCCAGGTTCACCTCACCGCGTTACCTTGAATGGGTATCAAGTTGGGAAATACAACGGTGATAACTGCAGCTCGGTTGCGAGTTGCGAGATGCGACTCTCAAGTCCCTACCAGACCGTGCCTTCCGTTGCCATGCTTCATACGCTGCCTGCCTGGACTCTGACCAGCTCGGGGGCCAGCCCCGGGACGTTGGCGGTTCTCCTCCCGCAGAGTTCTTCCCAGTCCACAGTCGCAACTGACTCGTTGTTTACGCGACCCTCCGCTAGCGGTGTCGCAGTGTCTCAACGAGAGTGAGAGATGGTTTCCACAGTATCACTGCTAGGGAATGGCGCTGCAGGCCGAGATGCACTAGTGGAAGCCCAAACACTTCTGCTTGGGAAGCAGGAATCCACCCCATGGGTCTCCGCCTCTGCGACACTATGTACACAGGTTGATGATCTCTTTGAGAAACAGCCCAGGGCCGGCGGCGTATGCCAAAAAACGAGGCGGTTCAGCGGCACAATTACACTCTTCTGTCTCAGACGCCCTGCCCAAGGGCGGCTGCTTCCAGTACACCACGGGCGCTACAGGCCGGTGGGTGAGCCTTGTCTAACGCGGCCGATGTATCATCAATGGAACCCGAAAGATACGAAGACCCCTCACTCTCACGCCAGTCCCTACTGTATTCCCTGACTTGCGACTCCATACTGGGACTAAGACGCTGTCAATGGCAACTCTCGCAAGTATCGGGCCGGCAAGTGCGCAAGTCATTAGTGCCAAGAGACGTCTGGCACTGATTCCCGACTCGGCAGGCAGCGCATTCAATGGACTTTGTTAGTCACCTCGCTCAAGTGGGCTACGGATACTAACGCAGCGTATCCTCACTATCGTAGCGAGGTTTCAACGGAGTTCCGGTGGCTAATCGTTCACGTGGGCCTGATACTCGTAATAAACGCCATTGACAAAGAGCCAACATAATAATCTACACAGCACAATCTCCAGAGGCACCCAGATAGCAGAGAAATAGCTCCACAGCCGAGTCAAAAACACATTTGAACAGACGCAGGGGAACTCAGCGGGCTCAAGACATCCGCAACGGTACATACGGCCATCGCAGACAGCGCGAAGTAACGCTGAGAGACTGCTGTCGAGGTGACCCACGACGAAGACACCAGGGATAATGGGATGGGATGGTGTTCGAGGAGGCTGGGGGAGGAGGATCCCTTACCCAGAGGCACCCTCGCTGCTTCTTTCACTGGCCAGTAGCCTGAAAGGGTCCTCCGTCCCCCGCACAATAGCTCCTAGCCAGGAACGAGCGTTCTAGCCCGGGTCCGGACCTGTGAGGCGCGCAAGCCAGGGCCAGCCTGAGGAGGGGGCAGCCAGCTTTTGGTGACTTTGCGCCCTTGAGCTTGAGGGACTTGGTTGCCCTTACATTCTACTGCGACACTGTTATCAACGGAAAATACATCATGACCGCCTCGCGGCTACGTACAATACAACTATACACCGAGCTAGTTCATACGCGGATCGATGGGGGTCACATCTCATCACATCGTTCGGCAGCTGACCGATCATGAACATCAACTTTGCCCGCCTATGCCAAATTTTACAGTTGCATTGGGCTATCGACTGCTTGGCAGGTCGATCAGGCGCACGCTTGCTGGGCAAATTCGCGTCGATTCTCGCGGATAAAGTCAAGACTAAGGTTCGGGACAGCATGTCCAGACTGGACAGTTATTTGAAAAGGCCCACATTAAACAAGTATGGCGTCAACCGCGTATGAGACGAGTTGCGCGGGGGTGTGAAAGGGATCCTGGACGAGAGCTTCTGGCGCATTGATCAAGTATGAGGATCCGGGATCAGTCTTGCCGGACGGCAGGGAGATCGTCTTGAGCCTCAACTTGGTTTCGACGATGAAGCCCCCAAGGTTACTGTTGATGCTGCGGCCAGGCCACGGCGCGGTTAAATCAGAATGGATGGAGATGCCCACGGTTTCAGCTCCAAGAATATGAGCCGCGCCCCAAGGCTGCCAAGAAATGGAGGCCACAAAAACTGAGTCGAGATGGATAAATTATTCGGGAGACACAGACACGGTACCGTTCGGATACACAATCGCTCAAGTACGGAGTACACTGCTACACTGCTACAGTACAAAGCTTCACGGATGCAAATTCAAATTGGCCACAGTGGCCCCAGCTGTCAAGTGGAAATCAAACGCGGATCAGCCAGTGGTCAGGGAGTTGACGTGTGTTGTATCCGTAAAGATTGAAACATCTTCAACGGCGGGCAAGCACCCACTCTGGCCGGATGCGTTCCGCGGGGGCTTTCTCGCCTCTGGACCTCGTACATTCGGTATATGCAGTACCGACATGGATAACGCCATTATCGCAAGTCCCAGTCGCACGAGAATGTGTTGTAGGTGGGAGAGATCCTACTTCATACCCAATGGCTGCCAAACGGGCCGGCACAACTGCACAATGCCAACCCAGTGCTTGATTTTGACTACCTACGAGGCGCGCTAGCGGAATCCAAATAAGAAGGCGCTTGTATTGACATGATCAACGTCAACGTCGTCTTGCAGAGGCGGGGCCAAGGTGATATGGAGGTCGATAAGATTGCGTTCAGTGGAATACGGCTATATCACGTCGCGATTATTAATTCACGTCCGATAACTACAGCCTCCATCTTTTAACTGCAGGGGGAGGGGGTGTTGAGATATATCGGGTGCCGAGTCGTCTTGAGACACTATTGAACCCCCCACTCTGAAATTTACGCCATCTAGAGAAGAATTGCTCACAATTTGGACTCTTTGGAGACTTGGAGTCCATGTCGACGCTGAACAGTACGGATACAACATCAGACCTATCGGAGAAAAGACGAAGACAAATGCAACTCACTGTCTTTGCTACCAGGAGAAACCTCGTTAGCTATCCTACGCTTGACGAGCAAGTACAACGGTTCCCGGTCACGTCCCGCAGGCGTTCGCAGCAGGGCAAAGCGGGGGCAGGCCATAGTATCAACGTGGAGAAGGAGGCATGACTGTCCGGCCATGTCATTTTGGATGGCAACTGCCGACTTATCGACAATGCTGCAAAGTCTGGGATATTCCAGGGCGCATCCCATTCAAGATGTAGTTGCAGTTGTCGCTTGCAGATGCCCATTGTACGAGGCTGAGGACTGACTTCACAAAAGGGGGGGGGGGGTTCTTGCAACAGCATCGGGAACGACACGCTACCCTTGGCCTTGGATATCAACACGCTGGAATATGTCTGGCAGCGTTATACCAAGGGTTTGCAGGAACTCTCTTTCTTGGATGTAAAACCGACAGCTTGCGAACGAGACCGACTGACCAGAAAGACTCATCCCGCGCCCGAAATAAGGAGTCAAAGCGCTGGACTGGGCGGGTCGGTCAAGAGAGCCCATCTCCTTTCCCTCTCCGGCTGATTACTACGAAAGGCATTGTTACCGCGAAAGGGGGTTCGTCTTCCCCGAGGCCTCTCAATCTCGCATTAGTTACGACGGATGATGATTTCTGCAAGTCAAATCGCAAGGGGAAATATGACAAACTTTCTGGTGCGATGGGGTTCCAAGAGCATGGAACAGTGGTCCTATCGACCATGCAACAGTCCGTCACTTGATCGGAATGCACGTCGAACAATCTGGCAGGAAAGGTGCATCGGTCGGCCGAGGAGACCATTCGGGGGATTCGTTGACTGGGCCAGCATGCACGCGAACCATGACCCGTGCAATTGCGATGCTGCTTTGCGGCGCCCGGCATGGCGAATCTGTGGCGCTGCGCCGGAGATCTTTCCCAACAACTCACGACTTGTCACAATGGTCTGTCGGGTCAGAATAATGGCCTTGTTCGCTGCGTGACGCTTGAGCACCCCCGGCCGCATGTGCCACGGCAGCCGTCGTCTGATGTGTCGGTCGAGCCAACATGAGATTTAAATCCAGCGGCATCCTTCGAGGACCTATGGATTCGCGAGGCAGTGAGTGAGTGGACATGATGGATCGATGTTGGTTCCTGACGGCGGACACTGCACTGACTGCTATGTGTGGTGTTTGCAGGCAGCCTGGTGATCTGTCCCCCGAGTCCCGAACGGACGTTGTGGGACGATGGTGGATTCTCTTTGTGACCGGACATCGACCAGTCACTTTGTCAATGTACGTTGATGTCATGTCTAGACACGAACGATGCCTGTCGCGCTGTGTCCTCCTTGCCTCCGAGGGAAAGGGAAAGAAAGAAAAAGGCTTCATCCTTACAAACGAACACTGGGTCCGGATGCCGCCCGCTGGTGGCCGCGGAGGGCTGGGCTCCAAGAGAGTTTGTGTGTGCAGGCTCCGGAACAGCATCGAATGAGCCGAACGTCCAACGTTGAATTTTGACCGTCGAAACAGGGTCGCGAGCAGGATATGGCTGCGACTTGGTCTCTTTGACTACTGCAGCTTCCTCCGCATTCCGCTAGCCAGCTTGCGCGGGCTTTTCTTCCTTACTCAGTATCCTTGAGGACTTGTCCCGGTAGTGTCGTTGATCGACGCCTGCATGCCGCCGCCGACTAGTCCCCTTTTTGCCCAAGAACGGGTGCGATGAATACTGTCTCGGCGGCGCGGAATGGTCAACTACTGTCCCCGCGAACCGCGAAAGCGATGCCATTGGTCCGCTCACACACAACCTCTTGCAACACCAGATATGAGAGAGGAAGCAGTTATTGATGGAGGCATCTTCAAAGAAACCCATCCGCCTGCTCGACTCATAACAAGACATGAGTGAGAATCTCCTTGCATCATTCATCATTAGATCATTCTCATTTTTTTCCTGGTCAGGTCCATGCAGGTTCAAATTACGAAAAGCATGCAAAGAGGTCTGTCCCTTTGCAGATCAAGCATGCGCGCACGGTAGGTATCACGTCCGGTTGCATCTTTTTGGGGGGGCCTCGCCTCCTCCTCTCAAATAATTGCTTCTTCTTTAGACTGCTTTCTTTGGACCGGCAGATGAGCGTCCGGCATACCTTGGAGGAGCAGCAAGATTGCTGAAACAGAGAGATGACAGATTCCTCAGCACCCCGTCGACATCATCCCCCGATCCAGGATTTGCTGCACAAGCCGATGGTTGCATAGTCCGCCAGTTCCTAGTCTGCCAGTTCCTAATCTTTGCTCGTACTCGGCGATGCTATCGAAATTTCTCCGCTCTCTTCCACTAGGTTCTACGGTATGTTATGCCATCGAACGGAGTAATCGATATTCACCGAGCCGGGTGTCGCACGATCTATTCTTTCATGCTTCGCTGTTATCTTGGCGCAAACGAAGCAGGCTCACCAGATGAAAGTGTGTCTGTGAGACATCGATACGGGTAGAAGCAAGATCTCTCTCCATATATCCGAGAGCGACGGGAAGCAACGTGGCCCACGACTGGGTCGCGCTGACAACGTCAGGACAACGGTTCAAATGGGAACCGTTCGTCGAAAGGTGTTGTTGTTTATGCCTTCTTGTCCAGATGAACAGATGGAAACAAAACAAACAGAGCAAGAACAACACACAGAACAGGTGCGGTTTACGAAGGACGGAAGCCAGATCCCAGAGGTCAGTGGGCAACACGTTTTTTCCTGGGGGAAACTCTCGGGTGTTAGTCTGAACCCTTTTTTTGCTCTATCTCTTCACACCTTCATGGTGTTAGTGCTGGCGATGCCGTGCCCTAGGTCCCGGGACCGCTCGCTCGGGGGGAAGACCGTTGGCTGCGAACGAACGCCGTCTGTTCGCGCCATGCTAGATGGTGGTGTTCACCGTGGTGCCGGTGTTGAACACTTGTCCGTGAGTGTGTGTCTGTGGTAGCCTGACGGCGATGACAAAAGGGACGTACATTGGGGAAAGGGCTGCTTCGACGGCGATGGTGATGACGACTACTACCCTACTACTACGTACGACGAAGGACGATAATGACCGTGATTCCGGCCGGCCGTGGGTTTGCCTTGATGGTGTGGCGTCACGGACAAATTTACGGTTTACTTTTCCAACGCACAGAACAGAAAGAAACGCCTCTTGCCCGTGGTCAACGACAAACGCCGTGTATCTTGCCGTTCTTCGTTCTCCCCGTCTTAGATCTGGGGAAGTCCATGTGGCAGTGTCTGTTCGAACAACTTCCAGTTTCCTCTTATCCCGTCCGTCCCGCGCGCGCGCGAGCGCGAGCGCGAACATGGCGTTCGAGTGAGCGGGTGCGCTCGTTCCTAGTGTTCGCGTTGATATAAAAAAAAAAAAAAAAGGGCGCGAAGAAAAGAAGAAACGAACCGAAGGAACGAGCCGCATGGGGCGGGCTCAGACCAGAGAGGGTATTTTCGCTCTCAGACTCAAAAACCAGGAACGCAACACGAACAAGAGATGGATCTCCCGCCCTCTTCTTTTTTGTGTGTTGGCAAAGATCTGGCTTGCCGCTAGGCTGGGGCTGTTCCGCTCTACTGCACGTACTACTTTGTACGTGCGGCCAAGGTGTGTTAGGTACCGTACGTGCGTGTGGCGCGATGTAGGTGGCTCTGACGCCAAAAATATAACCTGACTTCACACACCCCTACCTACTTGACTTGATGAAGTAAGCATCAAGTGAGTTGAAAAGCTGATCACCTCACACACGGATAGGTAAAGAGGACTGAGCGTTGAGATTTGGGAGACGTTAGGGCACGGATTACGTGGGCTTCCATCACCTTCCTACTCGACCGCGAAGGGAAACCGACGGACAACATATCGAATCACTCCCACACGCCCACGACTCCCTCACTCCCATATCAGCCCGTTCTTGACAGCATCAAAGCAATGACCTTGCGTTCGTTGAACGACATACGCAGCAGCAGCAGCGCGCGGCCCTTGTGTGTTCTTCGTAACTCGGTTCGCTTTCGGTCGTCCCATCAACGGGCATTCAACAGTAAAACTATATCGGTCTTTTGTTAGCATCTAAGTTGACGAACGCCTCGCTTTCTCGGCTCTATCTATTTGCCTCTTTCTCTCTCTTCGTCTCTTCCCGCCGGTTCTGCCGCGCCGTTATCTTCTCCGTGCTCGTTCTTAGTTTGCCCGGACTGCGGAGTACCGTGCCATCGTTTTTCCCTCCGTGCTCCTCCTCTTCCTCCTGCTCCTTCTCGTTTTCTGTTCTCTCACCCATCTCTTCACATTGCCAACAATGTCTGTTCCTTTCGTAAACTCTGTGCTTCCCAAGTTACCTAGTTTCCATGGATATTCGATGGGATCTTCTTCCTTACTCTACTGTCTTTCCCCAACTTCCCTTCCGTGCTCCGTAAAGTCCGTTCGTATCGTCTCTATACACGCCCCCCCCCCTTCCGTCCCTCCCTGCGGTAAAATTTCCAACATTTCAGCTCGCAACGTTCGTGATCTTCACCTCTATAGTTTTGTCGATTACATTGATCTACCCAAAAGGGAAGCATCTTGCTCGGTCCTTCTGGGCCTGGAAACCCCAAGGGCACCAAGAAAACCAGTTGTCAATATCAGAAACAAAAACGGGCAAAACCAAATACAGCAGAACCAAGTAAGCACCAAACTTTATCAAAACTCACGATATACGTTTTTTCCGGTGGTTCTAGTCCCAAAGACCGGATCCAAACTCTCTTCGTTGTTGTCTCTCCTTCTTTTCCCCCCCACCTGGACTACCGGTAGATCATCAATGCCATTGTCAATTTTCTGGCCCTGCGCCTTATCCAAACGTCGTACCACCTTACGATAGTTCCAAAAAAGCTTAGCCACGAAATGCACCATGAAAATCTCTCATCACGAAACCCCCAGATCCTTTACTCTCCCCCATGTCCAGTCTTTCTCCTAAACAGGCAGTGATCTTTCACTCTTTCCCTCTCTCCCCCTCACTTGGACCCCTTTCTCTGCCTATCCCCCACACATTGAAATACTCCGAGGGAAAAATATGAATCGCCAAAGTCGCGAAAAAAGTGAGGCTGGTAGAAGAATTACGGTATTACGATACTACGATATTACCTAAACCCCACGCTCGACCAAACTTCAGGCCCTGCCCTTTTTTCTTCGTTTTGTGCCAAGCCCGAAGATCCGCTGGGACGTCCCTTTTTACGTTACCGTACACATCTACTCTCCCCCACGCATGCGGGAGACCGCGCGGGCGACTGCGGGCGAACGCGGGTCGACGGGGGCACGAGCGCCGAAGGGGGGGCGGGCAAAGGGGACCCTCATCGGAGTGGGTTCCCGCCCGGATATCTCACAGTGGGGTGGGGGAGGCGTCGGTCACGATGATGGAAGAAAAAACATTGCGGTAAGGGTGATTAAGTTTAGATAAGTTTGGAAAAGATTGGTATTCGTAAAGATTGACAGCGACGATGATGAATCGGGTATAGATGGTGACCAAATCGCCTGCCAGGATTATGACGAAATACTCCGAACAATTCATCCAGAAATGCCGTAATCCTTACCATTAGTACCCACGACACATCACATCACGAGAAAGAAAGATTGACACAAAAAGTATATCTTGTATCCTTCGACCTGGATGGTCCCCTTTCCTGGGAAATTCTGGCAGGGTCTTGCCGGCGGCAGAAGATCGTGAGACGACACCAAGTGGTTCCCCCTCTAGGCTTGACCATTTCCCCTTATTTTTGCACCTGTGCGTAGGAGAGAGAGCGCGAGCGGGCGCTCTCGCGCGGAATTTGACCACACACACGACTAACTAACACGACGCCCCCCTTCTTAGCAGCTATTTTGTATACCATGTCCCCTATTAGAAGGCCACAATGGCGAAGCTACGGGAAAACGGGCGTGACCAAAACGCTCAGACGGTGGAGATTGTGAAAGGAAAGCTCCGTGGCTCCGTACGGAGCGGACGGGCTGAGATACCTCAGAAGGGAAAGGAGGAAAACGTGGGAAAACGTGGATGCATATCGGCCGACCGCAACGTCTAGCTCGACCGACGGAGATGGATGGATGGATGGGGGCCGCGGGCGATGGAGATGAAGATGGAGATAATCGACAGCTAGAACAAAAATAGGGGCCGGGGGTGTGGAATCGTGACTAACGGCGATGTTGCCATCAATGGCAAAGGCCAGAATAGGCAAATTTTTCGGGTTGAGAAAATTGCCTTCTTGAATGGTGAGCGTGACCTTTTCCAACGTCACCGGAGCCGCGCGACGTTGCAAATCTCCCCAACTTCTGCCCAGCTCCGCCTACCGGAAGAACCGGCCGAGCGGCGATTGTCGTTGCACGACTCAAGTTGTCGCCTCCCTCATCCGAAGCTATTGTCGAAGCTGACTCCGCAAAACCCGCAAGGCGCAGTAATATTACTGATAACTCAAATCTTGTTAGTAGTCTTTTTCTTTTCTTCCTGGTGTTCTGGACCCGCCGTTCCTCTCTCCAAACATCCGATGTGTGAGCATCGAGGCCTGCGACTCCTCCTACTCCTCCCTCTCACCTTTGGTACGGGGAGGCTGGACTTGCATACTCAACCAAGTCAGACCCCCCGGCTTACAGCTGGTCATGGGTGATCCTCATCATGCTGCCTCTTTGTTTTGCTGTTTGCGAAAAAGATGAGAGCTGAGGAAAAACAACAACGACAACCGGCAACACGAGGCAGGATGGTTTCACCAGCCGTCATTGTCTGTGCTTGTTCATCCAGCTAGAGATACGCCCTCTTCGTGCCTTGATCTTCCATGATTAGCGTCGGTTGATATACTGGATGGTTCCTGGTACGTATCGCCAAGTGGTTGCTTTCCTTCTCCATTTTTAAACCTTTTTTCTCTCTGTACCCCTTGCTCTTCTCCTTGCTTATTCTCTTAGTGTCGATTAGGCAGGTTTCGCTAGGCCTTTTGGGAACAGTTTGGATACGTCCTATGAGGTCTCCCGAGTAGTGTGCAAGGCTACACGCCAAAGGGGGCCGCCGTCGGGTTTACGTGAGGGACACTAGAGCTCGCGTTAGCTCGTCCGACTAATGCCGCTGCACGAATTCGTCCGGTAGGTGCAGACCGCTCGGTCATGGTTCGTTTGGCAAAACCGCAACTTGGCTCCGTCGAGGCAGTCGAGGCAGCAAGCACCGGTGCCGATCTCCGGTGATAGGGATGAATTTGATAATGGGGGTAAGGGTTTGGCTCCCCCGAGCCAGAAGTCGTTACTAGCACTTGGTCTGGGCAAAAACGTAAGTGTGCTGACAGGAGCCGGACCGACATAGAGCCAAGCTTTTCCCAACCATTGCTGC